AAGAGCCACAACATTATGTTAAATTTTTATTTTTAGCATATGGACAAGGAATGAAAATAAGCTTAGAAAAATGAAAACAGGTGACAAATTATGAAAATGGGGCAAAATTTCCTTTTTCTCCTTGTCATTTTAATGTCAATGTAATAAAATATTTTAAAAGTCTACGACAAAGTATTTTTTAGGTGTTTGGGTTTACTTACTAAATTAACAGCTTAGTACAATCTGTCGTAAACTAAGCTTTATGTAGTATTATTACTGATGGCCATAAAGTGATGGGAAACGGGTATGAAAAAGGAAGGAAGAGGAAGGCAGAGACAGTATGTCAGTTACTCTGATAAAAACCGGAAGAAAGAAAGAGATTACCTCTTCTAACTTGCTGAATTCTTTACACAGTTCTTCTCTTAGGCCAGAACAGTCTTCTTTATCTCGCCTTCGAAGAAAGCTTGTTAACAAAGGTGGTACCTAATAGAAAATAATTTCATAGGTTTTAAGGCTAATCACATCTGCCCCATTCCACATAGAAATACAGATTCAAGCTCACCAGCCACTCCTCAGAAACCCTATGTAGGGTCCACAGCATTTAACAACTTTGAAAATGACAGAATTGAGGTAAGGTATGAATTAACTTACTTAAAGTCCTAGGAGTAGGAAGTGGTGTGACTTGTAAGACCTGGACAGTGAACTATGAGTGATCAAAGCCCAGCCTTTACCCTCAAGGTGCTCTAGCCCTCAGGCGATACACAGTCAGGAAGGTGTCCTTCATAGCACCCGAGCCAAGTACCTCCTGAAGGATACAGCACTGGGCACTAGGCTGGTCCAGGTAAGCATCCTGAGCAGACGTCAAAGATGTCTTTGGGGTAAGAGGCAAAGTGAGAAAGGGGAAGAACATGAAAGCTTTCTGGAAGAAATGAGGGAGGTGGTGGCGAATTAGGGAAAAATGAAGTTTAGCACACCTGGGACAAAATATAGGGAGAAGGGAGGAGACATTTTGTAAAGGTAAACACAGGAACCGGATCATGAAAGGGCTTCAGGGCATGTCAAAGCTGACAGGAGCATCTTCCTGTCTTATTTTCCTCTTCCAAATCACTGAGCCATAAGTGACTACTTTGATTTCACTTAAAACAGATTTTAAAAATAGGAGCTGAAATATCTCAGACACACACCTTAGAAAACAACTCAAAGACCATCTTTTGGCAAGCTTTCTCATAGGGGTCATCAGGCATCAGCTTCTTCCCTGGATATGCTTCATCCAGGTACTCACAAGTGATGGCAGATTCGTAGACCAGCTGACCCTGACTGTTTTCCAAAACTGGTACCAGCCCATAGGGATTCTTTGAAAAGAACCACTCAGGCTTACTTTTCAGGTTGATGTTGATGACTTCGTGCCTGAAAGACACACAGAAGACGATGAAGAGAGAGACATTTTTGCATTTTTGAATAAATCCTCACTGGCCCTACCGTCCAGTTACTAGAGTCTGCTCAGCCTAATTCCTCCCCGCCAACCACCTTTACCACTCCCTGAATTTCTTCCCCTCTCACCCTCTGCCTGGCATCAAATCAACCTGCCAGCTCGACCTTGAAACCACATCTGGACTGTGTCTATCTCTCAGTTTCACTCTGATCACCTAGCCCAGAGCATCATCTCTCACCTGGACAGTCCCTCAACCAGGCTTGTTTCCCCTGTGACTTCCCTACAGTCCTTTCTTCACACGCAACCAGCAGACGCTTTGTTGTTGCTGTTGTTAAGTGCCTTCAAGTCAGTACTGACTCATAGCAACCCAGAATATGGTTTCTGAGGAGTAGCTGGTATGAACCACCAACCTTGTGGTTCAAAGCACTTTGGCAAAAGCAAACAGAATCAGGCCACTCTCCTACCTAAAACCTCTCGATTGCTTCTCACTGCAGTGAGGATAAAATACAAACTCCTTGCCCTCTCAAGATACATTTCATATGGCCCCCATTTACTTCTTTCCCATGGCGTTTCTGGTGGTCATTATGATCAGACGACAGTGGCCTTTTTTATTTTCCTTGAATTGGTTCAACGTTCTCACCTGTCACCTTCCTAGAATGTTGTGTTGCTAAGTGCCATTGAGTCGGTCCCGACTCATACACAGTGAACCTGTATGGAGTTTCCAAGGAGCAGCTCAAATGTGCGTTGTGGTTGAGTGCTTATCCTACTGTGCTACACCGGGACTCCTCCTGGAATGCAAGCTCCCAGGAAGCACAGATCTTGTTCATATTAATAAATAAGTAAGCATGTAAGTGAACAAAATGTAAGATGAAAAAGTTACATAATGACTGAAATATTTGTTGAATTAATGAATAAAGTGGAAATGCTTCAAGACTATTAATATTTGATATTCCATTTTTGGCTAAGAGCTATCTAATTTAAAACCCTATATGGCAACTAATGGAATTGTGCCCAGTATGACCTCTGGACTAAGAAGTTCTTGCTTTTTAGATAAATGTTAAGGGGTCCCGGAAATCTATCCACCAAGTAACTGTTCACTTGAAATCTCCCGGATTGGATATTTTAAATAACTGTTGGGTGGCGAAATCATTCAAAGTAAACCAAAAAGGAGGAAAACAGGTGACATTCAGACTGCATTCGAATTATAATTACTTCTATCTTGTGTTTTGCCCGAGATATTTCAGACAAATCAAGAGCAAGGGGAAAAAATTCCTATAATTATTAAAGCCAGATTTATATGATTGTCAAATCCGGATAATAGTTCAAAAGAACAGATTAGTTACTCAAAAAATAATATCAATTCGCCTTTCCTATTTCCACATTCAGAGCAGCAGCTGGAATAGCACTGAGTTTTGAGGTTTTACACATGTAATGGCATCTTTAAAACCATGGAAACGAACGGAAACGGCATGGAACCATGGAAACGGCATCTTTAAGCATGGAAACGAATGGCAGTTTGAGCATTACTGTGTGTGTGCGCACTAAAAGGTTCATGAGCTGACAACATGGGGCACACATATGTCAGCCATGACCAGGACGACAAGGTCATTTGCCAAGGAATGTCAGTATAATCTCTGAAATCGTATACTATGAAACCTTTGTGATAAAGAAGGCTCCTGGAACACATTCATGTTGGTACTAGGGTGGTGTAAACCAACAAGGCTAAACACCTGCTGCAACAAGTTAGAAGGTGCACCTCTGAAAGAAAAACATGTCTTCTCAAATAGCAGACTGGGACACCCCTAAAAATTAGGAACTACTTATATAAAACGATTTCCCCAAAAGTAAAACCCACAGACGGGGAACAATTTTGGACAATGTTATACCAGACAAGGGGCTACTATCTAAAATTTATAGAACACTTCAGCATATCACTAAGAAGACAATTCGATTTAAAAATGGGTCAAGTACATAAGCATATACTTTACCAATGAAGACATTCAGGCAGCCAACAAACATAAAGAAATGCTTACGACCATTAACTATTGTTGTTGTTGTTGTTAGGTGCCATCAAGTCGGTACCGACTCGTAGCGACCTTATGCACAGCAGAATGAAACACTGCCTGATCCTGGGTCAACCTCACTACTGTTGTCATGCTGCCACTTGGCATTAGAGAGATGCAAATCAAAACAACAATGATATATCATCTGACCCCAGCATTAATAGTAAAGTTCAAAAAAATAAGAAAACAAATGCTGGAGAGGATGTGAAGAGACTGGGCCCCTCCTACTCTGCTGGTAGGAATGTAAAATGGTACAACTGCTGTGGAATATGGTATGGCATTTTCTCAGAAGGTTAAAAATAGAAATACTGTATGATCCAGCAATCTCTCGATTTGGTATATATTTTCAAAAAATAAGTACTGTGACAAGAATACACATGTGCACACCCACGTTCATTGCAACATTGTTCACAATGGCAAAAAGATGGAGACAGCTTAGATGCCCATCAGTAGAAGCATGGTTGAACAAACTTCGGTACATACACACAATAGAGTATTGTACAATATTAAAGAATAATGATGAATCTACAAAACACAAAGAGGAACCTGTTAGACATTACGCTAAGTGAAATTAGTTAGTTACAAAGGGACCGATATCTTATGCGACCACTACTGTAAAAAGTCAAGAAAAGATTTTCAGGCTATAATACACATTTTATGATGGTTACAAGGGACGGGAGGGTAGGAAGAACCATTCACTGGGTACAGTATAGACACGCGCTAACTTGGATTATGGAGAAGGCAGTTGAAAAGGAAGGGGAAAAAGGAAGTTACTTTTTTCTTTTTTTCATGTACTGGAAGTGAAGCAATGTATGTTTATTTTCTCATTAGGACAAATCATTGGAAATTTTTCTGCAAGTAAAAAAAGGGAAAGGAAAGTTGGGGTCAGGGAGAAGAGAGAGAAAAAATAATTTGGAAATGGATAGTGGAGATGTTTGTGCAACATGTGGAGAGTGGTTGGTGTGACAGGATTGTACGTACAAAAATGGTTGAAAAGGCAAATGTTTTGTTGAATATATTACTATAATTTAAAAAAAGGGGAAAAAACATAAAAAGGGAAAAAATAAATGTAAAAAGATTAGAGAAAGGCATGTTTTCTTATGTTATAAAAATCTTGTGCTTCATCATTGAAAGTCTCCTGGGAATCAAGAGTAATATCTACTCATGAATATGTAGTAGCTATCTGCTCTTTGCCCTGTCTAGTAGCTATCCCCTGGCCATACTCTTTTGGTTAAAATCATTCCAATTTTCATTTCACATAACATGAAACTTTGTGCCCCTAAGGCCAGCTGTGTCCTGCCCCAGGACTTCCCAATTATATGAGTAAAATAAACGCCAACATTTCAATCCAGTTTGAATTAGGTTTCTTTTACTTGAAATGAAAAGTGTTCTGTACAGTAAATAGTGTTTTGGATACACTTACTAAATGATGACTATATGCTCATTAGCATCATAAATTTATCCAAATGAGATGCAAACCAATTTTTTTCTTTAGATTATATCTTACATTTCTTTTAGGGACTGCCTAACCATTCCCCTTAAAGACTAAAATTAGTTTACAAACCCTAAGCACATAACATCAAGATAAATGGAGAAAGGTTGAATTAAAGACTTAATTTTGCTCAGATCACCATCAACACTCATGAAAGCAGCTGTCAAGAAATCAAATGATGCTTTGCATTAGGTTGCCTAATTAAAAATTGAAAGACCTCTTTAAAGTGCTGAAGAGCAAAGATGTCAGTTTGAGGACTAAGAGGAGCCTGATCCAAGCCATGGTATTTTTAACAACCTCATATGCATGTGCTAGTTGGACAATAAATGAAGAATGTAGAAGAATTGATGCATTTGAATTATGGTTTTGGAGGAGAATATTAAAAGTACCATGGACTACCAAAACAACAAAGTTACTATTGCATATTTCCTATGGACAACCCACATCAATGGTACTAGTTTCAATACTGAGACTTTGCCAAGAGCTGACTCAACCACTAACGCAATATATACAAATGTCTCTATTAACTGGGTAGGCAAAGGTCTGGACAATGCCCTGGGTGAAATTACAGGTTAGTCGGAGGGAACCCTCTACTCAGAATCACAGCAAACAATATATAGGACCCACAGGACAGAATGAAGAGGCCACAGTGAGGAAGCAAGGGTCATGGCACAAGAATCAGGAAATTGCCATGGTCAAAGTGTCTGCCCGAGATTACCAGCCCAGTGAGGTAAGGCAAATCATTAGCTTTATTGAGCCTACGTTTTTATGATTTAAAAAATGTGGTTGGCTAACTGTTTGTCACGTGCCTGTCCCTGTATAAAGTTTTAGAGAATGGCTTGAGGGTTTGCACTGTTGACTTTTTGGATACCAGTCAGGTGCTTATCCTACAGTGCCACACCGGATGTCCTAGACTGATGAATTAGGAGCCCTGGTGGGAACTCATCCAAAAGGTCAGCCGTTTAAACCCACCAGTCATAGTTCAGGAGAAAGACATAGCAGTCTGCTTCCCCAAAGATTTACAGTCTGGGAAATTCTATGGTGTTCTATAGGAGTAGACTAAGGGAGAAGGGTTTTTTTAGACCCTAGACGTCTGTGGCATCTCCACTTCCCCACTTCCCACCCCCAGAAAGGGTCTATACCTTCCTTGTTGTTGTTAAGTGCCGTCGAGTCGTTTCCGACCCATAGCGACCCCGTACAGGGTTTCCGAGGTTGTAAATCTTTACGGGAGTAGAAAGTCTCATCTTTCTCCCGCGGAGCAGCTGGTAGTTTCGAACTGCTGACCTTGCGGTTCGCAGCCCCATTCGTAACCACTATGCTACCAGAGCTCCTATACAAACCCCAAAAGGTTAAGGATAGTAATACTTTGCAATAATAATCATAATTTAAAAGCTTCGAGGCCAATCAGGGATTCCCACCGCCGCCGCCAGCACAATTCCTCCCAGAGTACTCACTCGATTCCCTTGGCTTTCAGGACCAGGAGAGTCCTCTTCGCGAATGGACAGAACCTCATGCTGTAGACGCGGATCAGGCCCTCCGGGACCGGTTTCGGGGACTCGCTGCCTGCAGGAAGCAAGCGGAGGCTGTTAGGGCCCTGGAAAGCGGCCTACGCGCCCCCCCGCCGCCGCCCCCACCCCTCCGGGAGAGATAAGGCACGCGGCGGCTCCGCGCATTCCCCGCACATGGGACAAAACCCAGCGGCCTCGCTAGTGGAGGATCGCAGGCGGGGGTGAGTCCAAATCACGCCCCCACCGTGCGCGGGTAGATTTCACCTTTCGCCAGGCTTCGGGCTGACGACCCAGACATCGCGCTTCCACGGGGCAGTCTCCCTCCTGAGTTTGCCAGCAGAAGTCGTAGGTGGCCCCTCCTTCCGGCCGCGGTGCGTAGTGCGTGGCAGTGTGCTGGCCAAGGCTGGGTCCCCGGATCCCGCGCGCCCTCAAACCTTGTGGGCCACAGGGCGACGCGCGCAGACTCTGTCGCCCACGCTCTCTGAGAAGCAGTACGCTGTCACTGAAGCCTGGGAGAGCGAGTCGGAGAGCTCACCCTCCAGGATCCGACTTCCCCGTTTGTCTCCGCAGTATCTTAAAACACCGCTGGTTTTGCGGCTCTATTGAATGGTGTGGAGCAAGAAATGCGCCCACGTCCAGACGCACATAAAAAGCTCAGAAATCTTCAGATCCGTTTCTCTACCGCAATAAAGGTGGTCTCCAGCCCCTTCTCGCGGGTCTATGCCTGATCATGACACACACACCCCCAATACACACATCCTGCACCCCAGCCGGAAAGCGCGCCAGCTGCCCTCTCATATCATATGTGAATTCTGATAACCTGGCATTGTGAACAGTAGCGAAACTAGGGTTGGTGTTACTCAGTAAAGTAACTCGTAGACCTCCTCCCATACAGAATCCTTAGTAATGTTTATTATCAATTTTAATCATAGAATAATAAGTGCTAAATACAGATAATAGAGAGCTGATGGTGTGATGGGTTATACCCATTGGGCTGCTTCTGCAAGATCACCAGTTGCTCTGTGAGAGAAAGAGGAGACTTACTTCTCTGGTAAAGATCTGTTGCTGTTGTTAAGTGCCATCGAGTCGTTCTCCACTCATAGCGCCCCCGTAAGGAGCTCTGGTAGCGTAGTGGTTACGAATCGGGCTGTGAACCGCAAGGTCAGCAGTTCGAAATTACCAGCGGTTCCGCTGGAGAAAGATGAGGGTTTCTGCTCCCGTAAAGATTTACAGCCTCGGAAACCCTGTACAGGGTCGCTATGAGTCGGAACCGACCCCACGGCACTTAACAACAACAACAACATAGGGTTTCCGAAGAAGAGCAGCTGGTGAGTTTGACCCACCGACCTTGTAGTTCAAACCGACCTTGTGGTTGAGTGTTTGTTTATCCTACAGCGCCACACCAGGGCTCAGCCTTAGAAACCCTATACAGGGTGTCACTATGATTCGGAACCAGCTCCATGACAACAACAACATATAGTTTTAAATTGCTTAAATGTAATGTTTCCATGAACACTAATACCATAATAATAATTTTATAAAATTGTTATAAAATCGGCACTGAATTACATAATTGTTTATGTTATCAAATAACTGAGCAGCAGTCTTTTTTTTCTCCTTTTCCTTTAATTACTACTTCATTCTCAAACAAGTTATTAATATAGGTTCACAAATACTGGTATTGTAGCTAAAACACCTGAAAAAATGACAAACATCAGTGATTATGCAAACAACAGCTGCAACAAAAGCATGTGCTTACAACGTGTATTATAAGCAGTTGAAACCATTGAAGCCCCATTGTAATTGGGTAACAATGACAGCTTTGACCCACTGCATTAAAAGGAAAATAAACAAACCCAATGCCCTCAAGCCGATTCTGACTCCTAGCGGCCCTGTAAACTGCTCCACAGAGTTTTCAAGGCTTAAATCTTGACAGGAGCAGCCTGCCCCGTCTTTCCCCTGTGACTGGTGGGTTTGAACTGCTCACCTTTTCATCAGCAGCCCAAAGCTAATCCACTCCTCCACTAGGGCTCATTGGACTGCATTTGGTGTGGTTGTGCCCTCTAGTTCCCTGGTTGCTAAGGGTGTGTACTTCTCTACCAGAGCAGAAAGCCTCTTCTTTCTCCCCAGGAGTGGCTGATGGATTCCAACGATTTAGAGCCCAAGACATAATCCACCAGAGACTGCATTGTTGTTGTTAAGTGCCTCCGTGTGAGTCGATTCCGACTCACAGCGACCCTGTTTCTGAGGTTTGATATCTTCACGGAAGCAGAAAGCCTCATCTTTCTCACCAGGAGTGGCTGGCGAGCTCCAACCCCGGACCTTGTTGTTTGCAATACTATATTTAGCTTGTGGAACCACCACACTCCCCAGGGACAGCATTGCTGTCATTGTTAAATGCCGTCAGTCGATCCCCACCCATAGCGACCCTGTATAGGGTTTCCAAGGAGCAGCTGGATGACTTTGCAGTCTGACGCATTAGCCCACAGCACCACACCAGGACTCCAGGGACAGCATTAGATGATTTTAAAAAGTAAATTTTTATAAAGTTTTAGCCTTGTGGTTAGGCGTGCCGTGGTGGAGTCGGTTCCAACTCATAGCGACCCTGCACAGGGTTTCCGAGGTTGTAAATCTTTACAGGAACAGAAAGCCTCATCTTTCTCTTGTGGATCAACTGGTAGTTTCAAACTGCTGACCTTGAGGCTAGCAGCCCGACTCTTAACCACTATGCTACCAGAGCTCCTTTTAGCCTTGTAGGTATATTAATTCCTGGAAGTTGGGCTTCTGAAAAAAATTTTTTTGCTGTTAGAACTGCAGCGACATTTAAAAATAATACATTTTCATTGAAGCACTGTACGTTTTATAGTTATTTTGGTGTCATCCCATCCCTCTGCCAGTGTCACCCAGCACAGTCTGTACCCCTTACTGCACCATGCAGAGAAAGGCTTGTGTCTTTAGATTATAGTCATATACCATGTAGTGAAGCTCTGGTGTTTTCCTGGCCTCTGGAGCCCTGTCTTTCCTGATCCCTATCTTTCCCAGCTGTTTGAATGGACACTCTAGCCAGACCTTCACCTAAGTTCACTCAGGCCACCTGCCTAACTCTGAGTCTGGGCCCTTGCTAGGATTTCAAAGACCAAATGTTGAAGAAATAGGTGGTTTTTAAAAGCATACCCTCATTCCATGTTAATAATAACCAGATTTATGTTGTTTCCTTTGGGTTAAAACTAAGACTGCCCTTTGGGTATTGGTACTATTGTGGCAGCTCCGCTCTTCCCCAAGGCTTCTCGACTTCCGGGCCTGTGACCAGGACTCAGAGCCCACTCACAGGGTCCATACTTTCCAAAGGCTCCTGTTAGGAGCTGCACTGACTATGCGGAGACCCAGGCCTGCAAGGACACAGCCTGGACAACTCTCCCCAGAAGCTCTGCCCTGTGCACATGGGTCACTAGGAGGCAGACCCAACTAGATGACAATTAACAACAAGAACATATGTAACTTAGTAAACAGATACTTTTTTTTTTTAATGTAAACCTTGCTTAATTAAATCTTTTTAAGGAAATAAAATTTTTAGAAGGACTTGTAAAACATGAATGATACGACACAAATTAACACTGTAAACCCTAATTCTGCCAGACAAAACCTCTGATTGGCTAAGTTCATTTTTTTTTAATTCATTCAAGCTATTTTTCCATAAAAAACTCTAGAACCACATTTAATTTTTTTTTTTTTTACTTGAAATGTGCTGTACTCTAAACAATATGAATGGTGTAATGTTTTGTTGTAACATTTGCAAGATCCAATTCATCAATAAGTAAAGAAAAAGTTCTTCAAGTAAATAAATTGAAATAAAAGATACTGTCTTGGTTCAACTAAGTATAGTATCCCCGCTGTGCATTATAGTAGATCATGTCCAAGTCCTTCATGGTTGCTGCATATATAACATAAAAACATCTGGATACACTATGGTAGTTACACTTAAAACCTGCACATGTTGGCAGCTGTAATTATCAATAATTAACCTGACGGGCTGATCCTGAATTGATTCTGCTGGTTAAAGATGACAAATTGGGGGCCCTTATCCTGTGAATGACGAATACTGGTGGCTCTGTGGTTAAAGTGCTCAGCTTCTAACCAAAAAGTGGGCAGTTCAAACCTACCAGCCATACTTTAGTAGAAAGACACAGCAGTCTACTTCCATAAAGGTTTACAGCCTTGGAAACCCTGTGAGGTCTCTCTATACTGTCCTATAGGGTCACTATAGGGTCCCTATGAGTCAGAATGGACTCCATGAAGGCGTTTGTTTTGTTTTCAGTAGCCTGTGAATAGGAGCCCTCATGGAGGATGGCAGTGGCTTGGAAGAAAATGCCAGAAACAATAGGAAAGCATTCTTGCTAAATCAGGAGTACTGGTGGCTCAAGGGGCTAAGCATGCTAACAAAAAGATTGGTGATTTGAATCCATCCAGTGGCTCCATGGGTTCTCATAAAGATTGCAGTCAAGAAAACCCTATGGGACAGTCTTAACGATGAGTCAGACTGCCTTGGTACCCAACAACTTGTTGCATCACCAAGTGCTCTTGGTGGCACATGGGACAATGTGTGAGCAAAGCAAATAAACATCAATGGCTCTGAGTTGAAAAGTTTTTTCCGAAAGAGCTGGATTCCAAAAGTGAAGAAGTTATTTCACTTAATAGTTTTCTTTTTATATTTGCACAGTATGCTGCCAGACTGAGCAACATTTGATTCTGTTATTCATAAGATTGTTTGTCGGGGTCTGCCCTCGACATAGTTGTTTTGTTCACGAGTGTTTGGTTCACGAGGAGGGGAGATCCAGCGGCGATAGGGATAGCAAAAGAATACACAGACAGACAGAAGAAGGGAGACAATGAGGCACCCCAAAGCCAGGGTGGATACATCACTGGTGGGCAGGCTTGGGAGTACAGGCATCGTGGCCTCTGCAGGCAGCAACTCACTGCCCTGCAATCTTTACTGCAAGCCTTCCAACCAGTAGTGCACTGCTATCTTTACTCCATGCCTTCCAACCAGTAATGCACCGCAATCTTTACTCCATGCCTCCCAACCAGCAATGCACACCTGGGGAGGCCCAGGCCTCTGCTTTATTTAGGGGAGGAGTTTCACACCAAGCTGGGAGGGACTAAAATAGGATACAGCTAACATCAGTAATTTTCCAGACATTCAGGTAACTTTACATTGTACTTCGCTGGTTCGAATCCCAGGCCAGCAACTTGGATTCTCAGGCCCAATTAATATATCTATAGCCCCTGAGGTCAGTTGGG